CCATATACTTCTAACAATTTTTCCATTAGAGGTTCTTTGGGGACCTCTATGATTGTAGTTTTTAAAACTTTTTCTAACAAAGTTGGATTTTGAACTTTCTCCATTTTCAAAACGTTTTGTTCTAACTTTATCAAAAGAAGTTTTAAGATCATCAATTTTCTTTTGATGATCATCATTGACCTTTGAAAGTAAATTTTGCAAATCCAAAATTTTCTTTTCAAACTCTTCTAGTTTGATTTGCAAATCTTTGATTTTACTTTCAAGATCGTTGTTGGTTTTGGATATGAGTTTATTTTCATTTTTTAATTTTGAAACATCATTTTTATATTTTAAAAACTATTTCTCATAATCCGTAGCCAACCCATTATATTCCTCTAATAACTCATCATAGGATAAATCATCAAAATCAGATGAGTTAGAGGTTACCTTAGAATCTTCCCCGAATGCCATCAAGCACAAGTTTGCTATTTCTTGTTCCTCTTCATCGGAACCTTCTTCATCGCTCCATGTAGCCAAATGAGCCTTGTGCTTAATTTTTGATTGACCATTTCTCTTCAGTTGTGGGCAATCATATTTGACATGCCCCGGCTTTTTGCATTCATAGCAAATGATCGGGTCCTTCTCTTTTGGTTCATTTTTTAGGCCTTCATTTCGTTTGAATTTTCTTCCTCGGTAAGGTCTCATCATTTTTTTGAATCGTTTGGCAAACAATGTCATTTCCTCGTCATCATCATCTTCATCCGAATCACTCTCATTTTTTGTGGATTTGAGAGCAACTCCAATATTTTTCTTCTTCTCCTTATCCTTTGGTGTCTCTTCAATCTTATCAAGGTACACATCATCTTCAAGCATCATTTCATGAGTGAGGAGTGAACCGATTAGCTCTTCAAGAGTTAAGGATGTTAGATCCTTAGACTCGATGATTGCCGTCTTCTTTGATTGCCACGATTTTGGGAGGGAGTAGACTAACTTCCTCACAAGCTTTTCATTTGAAATGATCTCTCCATATGATTTGAGACCATTGACAATCGTTGAGAATCTATCCGTCATAGCTTTGATATCTTCATTTGGTTTTATCCTGAAATTTTCATAGTTATTCGTTAGAATACTAATTTTAGATTTCTTTACCTCATCGGTATCTTCATGAGTGACTTGAAGTTTATCTCATATTTCTTTGGCGGTTGTACAAGATGAAACTCTTCCGTATTCATTTGGTCCAAGAGCACAAAATATGATATGGATGGCTTTGGAGTTGAGCTGGAACATTTTTGTATCTCCTTCACTCTATAATCTTGGATGAGTGAGAGGCTTGAAGTATCCTACTTCTACGACATTCCATGCTCCCATGTCACTTGCTTGAATGAAGTACATCATCATATTTTTCCAATAGGTATAATTAGCCCCATTGAAGAAAGGAGGCTTGTTGACGGGCATCGAATCGAGACCAGAGTCGAAGTTTGAAGTAGAGGCCATTGATGACTTTGATTATCGATGTAACTCTTCCCGAATCGACTCAAGAGGTGATTAAACCTTCAAATGAGTTAGGCTCTGATACCAATTGTTGAGTTAATCGATTGACGGAATTGGCCAAGAGGGGGGTGAATTGGCAATAAAAATTTTGGTGGAAGCTTTTGCAGAAAATTGAAAGAAATTGCACAGCGATTTAGAGTGGTTCAACTTTCTCAACCAAAGTCTACGTCCACTACCTTAGCTATTCACACTAAGGATTTTCCACAAATTCACTAATTTGTCTTTCTTTTGAGGACAAAGAGTAACCTTACAAACCCTCAAGAATTATACCCCAAATTCTTGAGAACACTCTCTCCCAAAGAGAACAATACAAATTTGCAAACTTACAAGGAAATCCTCACAAGGTAGATTGTTTGCACAATTCTATAAGAAAGAAAAGAACACTCAAGGATGAATACAATTGAGCACAATAAGTGTTCTTGAAAGCAAAATGAATATTGAATGAAAAATAGGCTTGAAATGCTCAAACTTGAGGTTTGATGCTTTCTCTTTGATTCTCTCTTAATTCTAGTTGCTTGATGTTTCTTGTTGTTGATCAATGGCTTCTAAGCTTGCTTAAATATACCTTGAATCACTTCTGAACGTTGGGGATCATTAATGAAGATAATATAGCCGTTTTAGTGTGAAATCAATTAATAAAATTATTTGGAGCGTGGGGGGAATCGATACCCCTTAAGGGGAATCGATTCCCTAAGTGTAAAATTCAAATATTTCGACCGTTACATAGGGGGAATCGGTTCCCTAAGTGTAAAATTCAAATATTTCGACCGTTACATAGGGGGAATCGGTTCCCTCCGAGCATAATGGAATTCTCAGAGCCAAACCATTCAGGGGGGAATCGGTTCCCTCTGAGCAATCTGGAATTTTTGGCTTTGAGATGGTTTGAAATATTTTGTAAAATCGTTTTGAAATTATTTTAAGATTAAAACTTAATTTTACACTTGAGTAAGGATTAAAAATGACATTTGAAAGATTTGGAGTAATATTTTGATATTCGAATAATTATATCGAATATACTTAGAAAACCTTTGTGGAAAATCTTAAAATTCATTTAACTTAATTTGTTATATCGAAATATCAAAATGTTTTCAACAGGAACAAAAAAGATCAATTTTGAAAATAGTTTATTCACTTATGTATATATTAAATCATAATTTAAAATTAGAATTTAAACTATCATTTGTAGTATGATTAATGATTATGTATTTCTTGTTGAAACTTTAAACTAATGCAATCATAAGTAGTATGTAGTATATAACATGTAGCTGTATTGGTTACTATATAGTATTATAATGTAATTTTTCATTTTTTTTAATTAAGTATATTATTTGTGTTTAAAATTTCTCTATTTAACTATTTCTTTCTAAAAAAATTAACATAACATTTATGTTAGGATTTTCGGAAGCTCAAATCGACAACCGAAACAGTTTGCAAAGAGAGGTCGGAACGGTTTTGTGTTTAGGGAGTAAGGAGATTGAAAGATAGAGAATTGCACACTGATTTATAGTGGTTCAACTTTCTCAATCAAAGTCTACGTCCACTACCTTAGCTCTTCACCATGGATTTTCCAACAAATTCACTAATTTGTTCTTTCTTTTAAGGATAAAGAGTAACCTTACAAACTCCCTAGTTTTTCCGGGCTAAACTAGAACCTTTCCCTAGCTTTTACACGGGATTAGCTAGAACCTTTCCCCTTTACAAAAGGATAAGAAATGTAAACAAGAAAACCTCTCTAAGGTAGGTGTTTACAAGATTGAGCTCACAAGAACAAAATATATACAAGAGAAAGATGAAATAAGAATGAAAAACTCTTCTCTTGTGTTTGATTGCTTGGATAGTTGTTCTCTTGCTTCTTCAAGTGTCCTTAGCTTGTATTTATAGCTTGGAATGTGTTTGAAGTCATATATAGTCGTTGGGGATGTTTTGGAGCCGTTTGGAGATGAGAAATAATTAATAAAACAGCTTGGAGCGTGGGGGAATCGATACCCCCTCATGGGGAATCGATTCCCTAAGTGCAATCTGTTTTTGACCGTTAGACAGGGGGAATCGGTACCCCTGGGGGGAATTTGTTCCCCCTAGGGGGAATTGATATCCCCTGGGGGGGAATATGTTCCCCCTGGGGGGAATCGGTACCCCCTGGGGGGAATCTGTACCCTTGGACAATCTGATTTTTCTTGAAACCCTTTAAAAAGAAAATATTTTTAGCTCGATTAAGGCTCGAAATACTTTGTAAAATTGTTTTAAAATAGTTTAAGTATAAAACATAATTTTACACTTTAGTAAGGATTAAAATGAACTTTGAAAGACTTTGAGTAATATTTTGATATTCGAATAATTACATTTAATATACTTAGAAAATCTTTTGTAAAATCTTAAAATTCATTTAACATAATTTGTTATATCGAAACATCAAAATGTTTTCAACAATTTATTAAATAAATATTTTTGTTATATTCAAGATAAATAGTGAATATGTTAAAAAAGAAATTTGTAATGGACTACAGATAAATATGGAATTAAATTGTTAATAATGATAATTTGTCAATACATTTAAAATTGTTCGTGGAACAATATATTAAATTGAATTTTTTTGTATATATGTGTATATCAATTGTTGGTCTAGATTCAAATAAAAACGTAAAAATTATTAATAGTTGTTAGGTTTTTTAGAAGATGATATATATATATTCAAGGAAATATGTTGATAATTTTTTACACTCTTTAGATTTTCATGATGTAATTATGTTGGATTTCATGTAATATTTTTAGGCTGTTAAATTCGACCGTTAAGTGACACATATCATGTTTATAAAATTTTAATTTTTTTTATTTAAATTAAAAAAACTTAAAATTATTTTTTCCTTTTAAAAATTCCCAAAATTTTATAAAATTACAAAATCTCTAAAATTCTTAATTTCAATACTCCTTATCTTCGTCGGCCACCACAACACTGTCGATTGGTCTTATACAGTCAGCCAAAATTCCAGCGATTGAAATCCCTTATTTCTTCCCCAACATTGCTACAAAAATCTCTAAATTTTAATATTTAAATCTCTAAATTTTAAAATCATAAATCCTTAAATCCCAATTGAATCGATAAATGTACTCATCCTAATTCATACACGGGAGTAGGGGTTCAAACAACAGGTCCTGGGGAAGACACGTACGGGATGTTGGGAAATTAGGGTTTTTGTGTTTTCTCTTTTTTTTTTAAAAATTTGGATTTTTAAATAGTATTTTCTTTCAAAAAAATATTTTTTCCAGAAAAGAATATAAACACGATGTATGTTATTTAATATTCGAATTTAATGATCATCATAGTATAAACATTTATAATGTCCAAAATATTAAACAAGAAAAAAAAAATTGGCTACCTAAACAACTTAACTTTTTAATTAAAAAAAATGTGGAAATTGGGTTTTATTTTCTTCCTCGAAAACGCACCTTTTTAGTGCAAGAAAGGAACACAATAAAGCGGGGAAAAGGAAATTTCTTTTCAATCCTTTTTCCAAATACATTGGGCAAATCCAACACTAGAATAGTACTATATTAAATTTAAAGCGTCGACCAGAAGTTTAGGGGGGGAAAGGGAAAATATTGATTGGAGGGTGTAATAAGTACGATTTTGTTTTAAAAAAACATAAATCGAATCTAACAAATCAAAACCGGAATTTTCCGTTAATTTTACCGCCATGGCAATGCGAAGACGAACCTTGCTCAAGGTCATTGTTCTCGGTGATAGCGGGTACGTTCGTTCTCAATTTCAATTTCTAGGGTTTCTTCCTTTTACTGCTAAATTTTTTCAAACTTCTGGATCTTTTTAGTTATTCATATGATTAATGAGATGTTGTCAATGTCAGGGTGGGTAAGACGTCGTTGATGAATCAGTATCCTTTCAACAGTAATCAAATTTTAAATATTCATATCGTTTAATTTTCTGTGATTCTTCCGTTCATTTTTTGGGGCTAACTTTAGATCTTAAACTTTTTTATTAAGGTAATCTCAATATTTTTGTTTTTTTATTTAAAGGTTGACTTTATAAGATACATTGTCGTCGGAATTAACTTCTTGAATTTAGATATGTTCATAAGAAGTTTAGTCAGCAATATAAAGCAACAATTGGTGCTGATTTTGTCACCAAGGAACTCCAGATTGATGATCGCCTTGTCACTCTGCAAGTGAGGTTTTAACTGAGCATTACTATTTCCATACTATTTTTTGCTTAACTTTGAAGTTTTCACGGAAAATAAGTTTATGGATTTTTTTTTCTTTCTTTGGCGGCATTGCATTGGATAGATATGGGATACTGCAGGGCAGGAGCGGTTTCAGAGTCTCGGAGTTGCCTTCTTTAGGGGTGCAGATTGTTGTGCGCTAGTTTATGACGTTAATGTGATGAAATCATTTGATAACCTTGATAATTGGCATGAAGAGTTTCTTAAGCAGGTTTCTCTTTGCCCCTATCTATATTCCGTCATTTTATTTGTTGGTTTTAGTTCTTTAACAAATTATGTATTTGAATGTCTTAATGCATGACACATTTACTTTAAGTTGTTTTATGCCTCTATAACGTCGCCGGGGTTATGAGAATGTCAAGAAGAATCTGCAGTGTTTTAGGTTTATTGGCTTGTTCTGCCTTTATTACCCTACCATGATAAATCTGATACTAGAGATATTTATTTAGGTCAAGGGATGTCGGCTAGTAATGCATAAGGTTAGAAGTAAACTTTGGCAACCTTGCGGAATATGGAATACTTCCCGCATAACTGCAGGTTATTTATAAGCTATCAAGAAACTATTTATTTATTTTTTAATTTTTTGTAAGGCCTCTCCACTCCTCTTTGTCTCTTTGTTACGCATGCTACTCGCATTGATGCTCACAAACATCTGTCTACTAGATCTTTGTTTTTTTGAAACCCAGATGATTTTATTAGTTGACTTTGAGTTCATTTTTTGCTCATTTTCTTTATGGGCTTAACTTCTTCAATAACATTTACAATCTACTTAAGTGATTTACACCAGAGTAGTGGTGGAATGCTGAAGTTTGAGATAACTGCTGCTGTTTAGTCATATATATCTTGAGAGTCCAGAAAAATGTAGAATTTGAGACGTTTCTCCTTATTTTCGCCTAAATCTTCTTGACATCTTTAAGCCTGTGTTTGGCAATGGGTTGTGGATACGCTCAATGGTTGAAGCCGCTCTAATAGACTTTACCAATGACATTTCTTCCAATTATTCTGTTATAAAGAAGGAAATTTGTCTTCATAAATTGTTTCTGAGAGAAAAAAGTGGTGTTTTTTTTACAAGCTGGTGTCCTTTCTATTGACCTTGACCGAAGATTCTTTTTGGAAGAAGAAACACTTAGGGTTCTTCTTGTTAGGATTGTATGCTTTCATACTTGTATTGACATTGGAATTATTTTTGGTTGCAAAAATTCAAATACATTATTCAAACTAGTTTTGTCAGATTGTGATTGGGCTCATAGATTCTTTTGGATCTTTACCAATTTTTCTATTGTTTCGATCTCACTCATGGTGACATAATTGGTTTTACTTTTTTCACTGGTTCTATAGCTGCCTTGTCAATTCCTCTTCATTTTGGTTATTTCAGGTTTATTAGTTTTAACACTTTTTGAACAGGAAAGAAACAGAATTTCTAGTTTCTTGCCCCACCTTTAGGTGGATAATTTGCCTCTTGTCACTGGAGTGAATGATTTAAACTCAAATGTATATACTGTTTGATCTTGTTTGTCTCCATTCTACTGTTCTTTTGGAATTTGGCCAGTTCCTGTATTCTAGTCATTCCCTTGTGCAGTCGAACTGGTCAGAGCAGGATTACAAAAGAAGTATAGGTTTAATATTAGCAGATCAAAAGGAGTATGTTGGTAATTTTGTAGTAGTAACTCCATGAATGCTGATTCTCATGGGAATGTGAAACTTCTCTTCTGGTACCTAGTTGCATTATGTTAAACCTCAGCTAGTTAGAAATTGGGTAATACCTTTTTGCTGATGCCACACTTCAGTGCTCAACTCGACATACTTTCCTTGCAATGCGCATGGCCTTTCCTAGCAGCCAATTTAATTTCTGAGGTTGATTAGTCTTTTGTGTTTACGGTTGTCATTCCTCTAAACTTTAGTTTAATTTCCTTTGAAGTGATTATCTTTTTTTAATGTTGATACGGTGCCCATTTTCATTTCATGCCAGGCCAATCCAACTGATCCCAGGACGTTTCCGTTTATGTTGCTTGGAAACAAAATAGATATAGATGGTGGTAATAGTCGAGTGGTAAGGATATGTGGTTTTAATATGTCCCAATTTTCCTTTATCCTCACACCTCAGCCTAATAGGAGGTGGCATCTTGAGCCATGTAGGTCTCCGAGAAGAAAGCAAAAGATTGGTGTGCTTCAAAAGGAAACATACCCTACTTTGAAACATCAGCAAAAGAAGATATCAATGTTGATGATGCCTTCCTTTCTATTGCCAAATCTGCTCTAGCAAATGAGCGTGAGCAGGACATGTAAGTTTGTCTTGAAACATATTCCCTGTTTTGAGTTAATTTTGGCTTATATGTTAATAGTTTTCCAGCATGGTGTTGTCGGCCCAGAATGGTGTATGGTTTTTCCTAGCATTGCAGACTTAGAGACCTTCATATCTCTAGCAATTTTACTGCTAACTGTGATCTTTTAGCGTATATATATTTGGGTCGTTGGATAGCTTGTAGGGGAAAAACAGAGGGTATATCCAGCATTCTTTTGCAAATTGGACTACATTAAGCGTGTAAAATCTATACCGTCACCTAGAAATCCTGTTCGGAATACTAACTGATCTGCCTTTTCATATAAAATTTGAGGTGTGGAAATGAAAATTTATATATTTCTTAATGGAAACAGTATAGAAAGAATCATGTTCGGAATACTAACTGATTTTCCTTTTCATATAAAATTTGAGGTGTGGAAATGAAAATTTATATATTTCTTAATGGAAACAGTATAGAAAGTATAACATGCCTCGGGTAGACCAATATTTCCTAACTTAGTTGCTCATATGAACATTGGTTGGATATACTACAAGTAGATCAGCCATATTTTCTTGCTTTAAGGTGCTTCTAGACAGATCAATGGGGTATTCTTACCTGAAACAATCCTAAGTGAGCAGAGAAATTATAATAAAAAATGGAAAATAGTTTCTTGAGAATCATGATAACGTGTACTTTCTTTAGTCACTTTTGATATTGATTATTTGATTCAAAGAAATGTTTCTTTTATCATATATAGCTAATTTCCTTATTACCAAAAAGTACTCTTTATACAATTAGAAATGACTTAGCCATCTAGATCTTAGAATGATGATCATAGGTCTTACTCTTACTCACAACCTACTTCTTTTGTTATAGTTTTCATTATTATTTGGTTATGTATGAATGCACATAGGCCTGTAAATGAACTGAACGTTCAGCGAACCGTTCATGAACCGTGCGGCGAGAAGTTCGTTTATGTTCGTTTATTTATTAAATGAACGAGCATGAACAAGATTTTGCGTTCGTTTAATTAAATGAACGAACATGGACAAAGGGCTCGTTTGTTCATTTACGTTCGTGAACGTTCGATTATATGTTCGTTCATTTATGTTCGAACAGAGGGCAAGTTGAATATGTTACGAAGATTATTTAAGTTGTTTGGATTTCAAGAAGATTGTTTTGTTGAACAAATTAACTTTAAGACTTTATTATGTTCATATAGCTTATTTATGATTTATGTATGTTTTTGTCGTATTCGAACAAATTAACTCTAAAGTTACAGGTTATATTAATGAATTTTAAGTTATTCTTGTTGTTTACTTTTTTTTTACATTTGTTTGTTGTGTTCGAATAAGTTTTTTTTTTTGTGTTTGGTTGTTCGTTTATGTTCGTTTATTGTGTTCGTTTATGTTCGTTTATTATTTAAATGAACGAACATGAACAAGCTATATTCCTTAATGAACGAACATGAATAAAAAAAATTTGTTCGTTTATGTTCGTGTTCGTTTTTTTATTAAATGAACGAACATGAACATACATCCATTCTTGTGCGTTCGGTTCATTTACAGGCCTAGATGCACACTAGCTTGCATTCCAAGGTGCAGTTCTGCTATGCTTAACACGAGCCTCAGTGTTTCTTGTGTAATTTATATAGAAAACAATTTACTCTATGGATTAGCAGGATATAGGTTTTATGTTTCTGTTGATATGTAATCATCATGGTTAAAATTTTGATTTCATGAGCAATTTTTCTTTCACTTGTTATTACAGTGAAACTGTTTCTTCCTCCACTCTTGCCTTAATTTATTTGTCCTCTATGTAATTTGTCTTAGCATATATGTTTTTAAGATAGTTGACCAACGACCGGGCTATATGGTACATATATTTTCCTTCAACAAGTTTTCCTGTGTACGATTGCAGATATTTCCAGGGTGTCCCAGAGGCTGTGACTGAGACCGAGCAAAGAAGTGGTTGTGCATGTTGATTACAAACCAAACTCTCATTATTGGTGATCGTCGGATGCTTCCATGTTTTCTGGTTTAATCATTCTTAACCATTTTTTTTAAACATTGCATTTTGAACGCCGTTGATCGAAGCATTACTTGTCATTGCTTTTGTTTTGGTTTTGGTTGGTAGAGAGGTGAACTTTAAGGGATGAAATTTGTAGTATTCCAGGTCAGTTTAATTAAGATTCTGTAGTCTTCCATTGGGTGAGCTTTTCGTCCTGTTTTAGCGGAGAAACTCTTTCAGATGCAAACCTGGAATCTCACCCCGTGAAAAATAGGTTTAAGTATTCAACAAAGCAAAACAATAAAATTACAAATTTCAATTAAACAACTATCCGAGTAATCTACCATATTTATTTGTGGTTTTTTATTTTAAGTCGTGACATTAGACCATGAAGAGCTAATATAGATATAGATTCCGTTCTCTATTTTGTTCACACAAAGAGAGATGCCAACAACTTCAACCCAAAATTTGATTTTAGTTTGGGGTCTCAGATAGTGTGACAAAACGCCCCCAAATAACTTGAGCTATCACAAATTCACACCCATAAATCATGGCCCTTAGCGTAACAATTTTGAGTGGGACAACACAAAGATGAAGAGGTTTCCATGCCTTGCCTTAAGTGCGGCAGCACTAGTGGTGCTGGCGGTGTTTTCGGGAGAAACACAGTGGGAGGATGCACAAGTGACATGCAACCCTATAGAGCTCAGTGTCTGCTTGCCGGCAATCACGTCATCGACGCATACATCCGAAAGCTGCTGCAACAGGCTGAGGGATCAGACGACATGCTTTTGCGGGTACCTTAACGACCCTGCTTTAAGACAATTTGCTGATAATCCCAACACTAGAATGATCGCTGGCGCTTGTGGAGTTCCATATCCTCGGTGTTAAAAGCATCTTAATTTCAATTCTATATATAATATATATAGAGAGAGAGGCAGCATATAGGGCTCCTTTTGCTGTCAATATTGATTGCAATAAATTAATGATGACGATGAGTAAAGGTTTATTATATTATAAATACTAGTGTTTGAATCCATTTTCGGTTGTTTCGCTTTCATTATTTACTCATAGTCTGATTGATGGAATGAAAAAACTATTTTTTTCATTAAAAATTACCTCAAAACTTTACATAAAGGAAAGGAAATTGAATTTAAAATAAAACATAATAACCAAGTTTGTCTTTAAATAGATATAACTAAAATTCAACCCAAAGTTAGAGCTCAAATTTCTTACCAATTGAAGTTTGAACTTATCAGCTGAAGATTGTCCGGCTTGATTGTCGTCTAATGTTAAAGCACACAAAAGAAAACAAGTCGCAATGGATACTTTGCCAATTTTTCCTTTGTCAGTGTCAGACATAGTACAGACAACCCTTGTTCATTTTCATTGTCTTATTAACACATCTTTTCTTTTGATTTTGTTTCTTTGACCAAAAGCACTAAAATTCAATAAGATTGTTAAACCAATGTGAAGACAATCTAATCACCGAATGCTAAATGGTATCTAAACAAAAAGAAAATGGACAATGTGAGGAAGCATGGGGTGTGTTTTGCCTGTCCGCTTTTGTGTTGCATCATTGGGCCTACTCCCATGATATGCATACACATTCAGTGATTGTTTCCTTACATCAATTATCATTAAATTCTAAGTTATATATTATTTAGATTTTAGATTACTGAAATTTTTTATTTTTTTAAGTTATATCATTGGATCATTAAATGTTAATGGTGTAATGATGTCAAGGGATCTTTCTATCATTATTGTAACGACTAATGATGTAATTCAAAATTAAAAATTCAATGGTATAAACGATCCACAAGTTGAGAATTAAGAAAAAAGATTGGCTCAAAGAATTGGTAGGTGTTGGATACAGTGAAGCATGATCCAAAAGAAAAGGCATTAAGATAGCAAATCATGTGATTCTGATGTCTCTAGCACTGTACACATCAAGCCAAGACCCTCATTCAAATCCAACAATATCTCATTGCCCATGCTTTCCATTTATCTATGATGTTCTTGGAATTTAAACTAAAACAAAATAATTAACTCTGATTTGATGACTGTTTTATTAGAGGTTGAGAAGTCTTTCCCCATTCTTCCGCTGGTGTTTTAACCTCCATTAACAATGCCACCACCTCCTTCATCGTTGGACGCTCCGCCGGCGAAGAATTCACGCAAAACATTGCAATGCCAAATGTTTGAAGCATTTCCTGGACCAGTTGGTCCGGCAATCCTTGAAGCTTCGCATCTAGAATCGATGCTGCCGGTTCAAAACTCCCCATTTTCTTCTTCACCCACTCCACAATGTGTAATCCGTCCCCCACCCGCGATTCAACCGCGCTGCGCCCCGTTAGTATCTCCAGCAGGACCACCCCATAACTGTAGACATCACTCTTCTCGGTTATGTTCATTGTGTATCCATATTCTGCATTCAAATTAATAAACGTTCCTCAGGCAAGACATTACATAACTAGCTGCGCTATAAGATGATCAGTATATAAATGTTGACCTTGTTTTCGATTCATAAGGCAATTTTACCGACAAAACCGTGCAGCTCAGACCATGCAGGCATGAATATTATACTCAAATTGATCATATGAAAGTTAATTAGGAAACTTGCCTGGGGCAATATAACCATAAGAGCCTGCAACCCTGGACATTGCGTGGTGGTAATTAGGAGAGTTCATCAGCTTCGCCAACCCGAAATCTGCTAAATAAGCTTCAAACTTTGAATCTAAGAGTATGTTATTGCATTTCACATCTCTGTGAAGAATTGCTGGTCTGCAATCATGGTGAAGATAAGCTAAACCTTGAGCTGATCCAACGGCGATCTTGTACCTTGTTTCCCAATCCAAGTTCCGATTACTTTGCAAAAGCTGTAGCAGATTACCATTTGGAATGTAATTGTATAACAGGAGCTTAACGCTTTTATTGGAACAATAACCTAAGAGCTTCACAATGTTTCTGTGGCGAATGTGTCCAAGAATCTGAATTTCTGCTGCAAATGAGTCCACTGCTGGCTCTTCATCTTGCTTTGTTTTCCAAAGCTTTTTCACTGCAATCAGTTCACCGTTTGGCGTTTCTGCTCTGTAAACAACCCCTGAACAGCCTTTTCCTATCACATTCTCGTCTTTGAGACAGTCCAAGATGTTATCGATGGTGAAACCGAGCTTTTGAAACGGAATGAAAGTCCATGGATAAGAGAAATCTTCAGCTCCCGGTGAAGATGATGAAGCTCCTGCAGATTTCTCCATCATATACCTATGGTTCCTTGTAACTAAAAACCATAAAGCAATGACCCCAATAGTAACCGAGGCGAAGATCACAGAGACCAAAGCAACAGTTTTGGCCGATCTTAATCGGTTTTTTTGTATTAGACTCGAAGAACAAGTGGAACCATCCAGGGATTGGCATAGATCCGGGTTTTGCAGATAAGAACTGGAAGAAAGTGTCCTAAAGAAAGGCGTTACAGGTATAGGACCTGAGAAATTATTGAATGAGATATTCAAAGAAGCAAGACTAGTAAGGGAACCTATAATCTTGATTTTTCCATGTAACATGTTATGAGACAGATCAAGTGACTGTAACTGTCTCAAACCAGACATTGATTCTGGTATTTCACCAGTAAACATATTGGAACTCAAGTCCAACCCGATTGTTAGGCTTGTCAAATAACCAATTTCGGAAGGAATTTCACCCGAGAGATTGTTGAAGCTTAAATCAAGCAGTGTAAGTTTCTCCAGATTCCGAACCGATTTCGGGATAGACCCTGTTAGTAAATTGTTGTTGAGAATCAGCTTGTTCAAGTAACTGAAATTACCAAAACTAGAAGGAATTTCTCCGGTGAAGACGTTTCGACTAAGATCAAGCTGCTCTAAATTCACAAGCTCCCCAAGCAGAGATGGTATTTCTCCATTAATGTGGTTGTTGTGAACATCCAACAGCTCAAGAACCGATATGTTTGCAATCTCAGAAGGAAGAACGCCTGAGAAATGATTCATATATAAGTCGAGGAACACTAAGTTCTGCAGTCGGCCGATCTCCTTCGGAATCTGCCCCGAAAGCCGGTTTTCCCCAAGCCTTAACCTCACCAACGATTGACAATTTGAAACACTTTTGGGCAACTCTCCCGATAAAGAGTTTCCAAGAAGCAAAAGCTTGCTAAGCTTCTTCAAAATGAAAATCTCTTCTGGTATTGAACCCGTGAGCTTGTTCCTCGAAAGATCCAAGGCGTAAAGTTCAGTGCAGTTCCCAAAAGATGATGGGATTGTCCCGGAAACCAAATTTCCCCACAGAAAGAAACTCTGCAAGTTTTTCAAGTTACCAATCTGCCATGGGATTGAACCAGATAACTGATTCTTGTCGAGTTGAAGTGTAGTCAAACTCGAACAGTAGCTTAGCTCCCAAGGAATCAACCCAGTTAACGAATTATCGGACAAATGAAGCTGCTCAAGAACACCAAGCTTCCCAATATCACCAGGTATTTCACCAGAAAGATCATTAGCCGAAGCATCGAGCACAACAAGTGAAGAACAATTAGATAACTCAGCCGGGATTGAACCTGCCAAAGCATTACCCCATAAAAGCAAGCTAGTAACCTTTGGAAGATTCCCCAACTGACGTGGAATAGTACCAGTCAGCTTGTTCATGTGCAAATACAGATTCCTCAACTCTGAACATAACCCCAGTTCAGGTGGTATCGAACCAGACACCTCAGTATCATAAAGGGCTAAAGTTTGAAGGTTGATCAAGTTCCCAAACGTCGGTGGAATAACACCAGAAAGACCAGTGGCGGCTGCACCGAATGTGGTAAGATTCGAAAGTAAGCCCAACTGTGAAGGGATTTCTCCTGTCAGATAAGGATTGCCTCCTATTCTAAGCTGCTGGAGAGAAACCAATGAACCCATTTGAGATGGTATTGAGCCATTGAAGAGATTATCTTGTAGACAAAGGACTTGTAATGAAGTGAGGTTCCCTAGCTGTGGAGGGATCCGACCACTCAATCTATTTGAGTTGAGGAAAAGAAACTGTAGTGAAGAAAGCTGGCCGAGCTCTTGAGGAATGGAACCAGTGAGAGTGTTAGAGGATAGGTCCAAAAGGCGAAGGTGAACCAGTTTGCCAAAAGAAGAAGGGATTGTGCCTGAAATATTGGTGGAAGAGAGATTGAGAAGCTGCAGGGAAGAAAGAGATGAAAGTTGTGGGGGCAAAGAAGAGAGATTGAGGAATGTGTCGGGAAGCGATAGGGATATGACCCTATCTTGAGGGGAACATGTTATCCCTTGCCATAAACATGGCGTTGGGCTCTTTGGGTTCCATGAAGAGAGCACCGAGGAGGAAGCTTTTGCAGACGGGTCAGCAGCTGATAAAAGAGAGAGAAGGGCCTCTCCATCAGGTGAAAGAGAGGTGACAAAGAGTGCTCTAAAAAGGAACAGACAGAACAAAAAACGGGTACCTGCAAATAGGCTATCCATTATTAACTCAAGGTGCAAACTAAGAAAAAAAACCAGGTTGCAAACTGAAAGAAAGAGAAGGTTTCTTGAGGTTTCAATGGAAACTGTGAAAAGTCACAATTCCAGGAGACAACATGCATGTGAGAGAGAAGGGTTTCATAGGATGTGAAAGACTGAAAGCTTTGCTTACACTTTACACCAAAACTGTTGAACATCCATTTAGTTTGATGAAACCATGCATGTGAACACCAAAGAAAAAGATAAAAAATACAAGTGTTATAAATCTTGAATAGTGAAGAAGAAGTTACAAAGGGTGGTGAATGATGAGAACCTTTTTTTCCTAAGGTTAATGTCTTCCGGAGTAAACACGGTGAGTTGTGGCGGCCATGGTGGTTTTGGCAGTGGCAACGGTGGTGGTGGGTTTTTCAGTGGTTTGAG